GAATGTCAATCTGCCCCTCCTGTCCGAAAAGAAGCATATCCGAATAAAGGTACCAAGGTAACCCTTAGAGTCAAAGCATTTTTCGCTATTAAGGACTTACTGAAAAAGGCTAAAAAAACAGGAATCACTTGGAGGAAACTAAGGACCAGGTTCACATTGTTAGTGAGCGTGGATAAGAACGTTTCCCGGAATTCCACATCCCATATTGACTCTACCATCCCTAACGTTGGCCACTAAGTCCAATTTGACCTATCTCAAATAAGATCTTTTAGGATCAATTGGTTAGACGTCCCTCTCCTTTCTTTGCATAAGGCCACTAGCCATCTAGTGTTCACTATCCTTCATCTTTCGATTAGCGAGATGATTTTAAAAACTACAGGCCTGAAATTTGCCTTTCTTAAGACCCTGTTGAACATATTTTCAAAATGTTCCATCATTGGGTATAAGTAGAATCTTCATAGCCGAAAAAAACACAGTCAAAGTCAAATGTTTGTCGGTGGCACAGGGTTGTGTTTGAAGAAATGGAGTTTCGTTGTTCGTCACATGAAACTCTGCACTTAGGGATCAGCCTCACAAATATGCTCTTCGAGCTTTGAAACCGTCTTCTTTGTGGACTCGGTTGTAGGCTATATATCCATGGCTTGTTGAGATCCCCTTCCTCCTTCCTTTCTCACTGGAAAAAGCAGTAGTTGTAAATCGACGACCAGTTATCAATCAATCTGATGAAGGTAACAATATCCTCCTTGAAATCCATATAATCATTCCTTGGAAAATCAACCAGATTCTCCCTCCTCTTATGGCTCAAAGGCTCAACCTGGCTAGTAAGTCGGCATAGGAGAGGAGCACTCATTCATCTTGTGGTGGGCTGGCTTACTACTCCCTGATATTAGCTCTCAGCAGTTAAGCAATTCCGAAATCAGTTTGTTGCCCTGCAAAGTCTTTGACCTTGGGTATATGAGTAGGAGACTTAGGACAGTAGCATCGATAGGCAGTAGGGCAAGCTGCCGGATTGACAGACAGTTATTAGGACAGTGGGTAAGCTACTTAGGCTAGGGGATAGGTACACATAGGTCAGATACGCGGGCAAGTCTCAATAACCAAAGTAGGAGTTGATGAGTGACTTTCTTCTTCTCTATTCCTTCTTACTGGACTGGACGGATTCCTTTCTGTAAACTGAGTTAATGGAGTCAAGAAAGAAGCTAGTACAGTAGGAATTCTTATTCCGTAAAATAAGTCACTGGTAGGCAAGAATTTCTCTCGAGAGTCAGAGCTTCGAGACGACTTTCACAGATGTTCAATCTTGCGAGGCGTATGAGCCAGATTTTTAGTACTCTCCTGACCTGTTAGAGGCCACCCTAATAAGCGGAGATTGCCGGGAAAATGTTGCTCAACAAGACAGTAACCAACTCGAAAAAGGAGACCCTGGCATAACAAGTGGTGATCTCTGTACTAGAATAGAAGCCCTGCTAATTGTGAAGAACCCACAGCTGGGAGCGTTAGCAACTGGATTTTACCACACTCCGTTATACCCTCCCTTGGGGGATGGCTTGGTGCTAATGTAGGACTTTCGGAGACCTTCCGCTTGCTGTTTTGGTTCAGCCTGAGTGGCCATAACTTCTACTGTGATTTAGTTTGGAGCAGTCTTGCTCTTGTTGTTCCATTGTTGCGCGTCCTATTCTGATATTTAGGACCAAGATGTATTGGATTCTCTTTCGGATAGGCCCTGAAAGGAGAAGAAAGGCTGAAATGCCAACGGACGTCTGTCTATTCTCTAATTCACCCAATCCCTATCCGCTTTCCAAAAAGGAAGAATGCATGAACCACGACAGAGGAGAAAGGAAGGATCACCTACCGATCTTTTACAAAACTATGCCAGAAAGGATATAAAGATTGACCGGTACAAAAGCATCTCCATCAATCTACGCTCATTAAGGAGAAGGTTCCTTAGAGAATAAAATGGGGAGCAAACGAAAAAGATGTGTGGCTGAGGTGTTGGGAGCCCCCAATAGAGAAGGACGATGCGGAAAGGGATTTCAGCCAGTCCTTGCCTATTGCTGGGCTGTTTGTTTTGTCACGGTCCGATTAGTAGAAGGTGAGTGAGTAAGACGAGGCCCTCGAAGCGTAATGTAGAGCTATACTGCTCTTGTTTTTCCTTCCGCCCTGCTTAGGAGAACTTTGTCTAGAACCCACTTCAGCTAGCTTTCAAGGATACCATTACAGATGAGTGAAGCGAGTATACCATTTCCGGAGCTCCCGAGGTAGCGCGGTAGCGGAAGCCCTTTCTAGTTCAAGCAGTTCCAATTCCTATTCTGCCTCACCGCTTACACCACACTCTATTGGTTCGCCTTGTGGTGCCTTTCGATCAAGGTCTACTTTGGTTGATCCACTTTCTTCTACAATGCATTATCCGCATCGAAGTTAGCCAGGTTCCTACCGCTTCTTGATATTATGGATTTTGCAATCCCTGAACGCCAGTGCTTCTACAACCAACGGATACTATTTAACATAAATAATAAGTAGAAATGGACAAACGAGTGTGGCTACACAGAGTGAGGAAAAAAACATGGTGGTACCAGCATTGTGTATCACTCACTATGCTTCATGTAATATGGCTTAAGCAATGGTAAAATGGGAGTCATGAGCAAAGCACATCTGATCGATATGAATGAAAGATACATCCGTCTTTTCTTCTCCTTCGAAGGTTAGGTATCCGCTCGTTAGTTCAGCGCCGCATAAATACTGACTTTAAAAGGGCGACTACCGCCTATGCTTAAGTTGTTTCAAGCTTGTAAAGACTCACGATCGGAAGATTGACCTGGTTTTCTTTCAGCTGAAACTCTACCTAATGGTTCAGATTCCCCGGGTCCATGGGTCCATGACCGCTTAGCTTAGACAGCCTTGTTAGAGACATGAATGCGGGGTTCAGTTTCCAATTGATTTGTATTCACTGGGACCTCCCCTTATTGGATTTTCTCCACTTTTCTAGTTGTTGTGGAAAGAATGTTGAGCAAATGAGTTTAAGGGGTGGTTTTCTGTTTACTTTTTTTCAGCCTACGTCGTCTCTCTTCCAGAACCTCACAATCATCAGTGTCTGAAGTTTCATGATGAACATTGGTTTCACATTTTATTGCTTACGTGAGGAAATATCAATTTGTAACTCGAATTTGTATTTGAGTTATGATGAGGAGTGAGGTAGATTCGCATTGTTGAAGAAAGCGAAGAAAAAGGATGCTGCTATGGCTTGCTTGTGGCTCTTTCTTCTATTGGCTAGTCTCAGGCATGATAGTTTCCATTTCTTTTGGAAAGCAAGTGCCGCTCAGTCATAAGTGTTAGTAATAGCATGAAGTAAGTTGTCGGTAGCCGGCATTAGGTAAAAGGAAAATCTTCTCAAAAGCATCCAGAAATATCATAGAATGGTGATCGAGATCACCTTCATGGGAATCATCCTTTGCAAATTGGGGGAAGGGAACCAATCAAGTCACAAAGAAGTTCCCAAAACTTGGTTTAGTATTAAGGTTCTTCTCTTCCAGCGTTTAGTATTCAAGTTCTTCTCTTCCAGCCCCCTGGCCCCTCTCTGATAAGTCAAGTTTTCAAAATGAAAAGCAAATGACAAATATGGTTCGATGGCTCTTCTCCACTACCCGCTTTACTACTTTCTATTTTTTCTTACGTATTAAGTTTCCCTTAATATATAATTGGATATTACTTTTGATGTGTATATTTTTATTCCTTTGTCGTTTTATATTATGCCTAATACCTATTTGCAATCTTTTTAGTTCGTGCTTTGTCGGCTCTTCCTTTCTGATCACTCTCCCACTGGAGATTGAAGACCCCCAGGCTCTAGCTCATTTAGCAGGGCTAAACTTCTATCTTAGTCTTTATGAGCAGGATCTGGGAGAGGTTACGTTCATTCAGAACGAGCTTAATCACAATACCCCCCTGGAAGACATACATGGGCGGCTTAAGCTCTTCCTAATGGAAGAAAAGCTCTCTTCTATGCGACAAGATGTCATTCAGGAATTTGGGGCGCTTTATCAAAGAGTAGGGCCTTATCTACCGATCGAGCCCTACTTGGTCGATGAAGCGCTTTGTTCCTATCTGGACCATATTCACGCAACTGATTCTTTCACTGTTCTCCAAGCGTCTTATCAAGATCTGCGGGAGAATGAGGGAGGATCCGTTTTCTTTCAAAATGCTGTTTCCCACAACCGGGATCTCCTTGAGGCGGAAAGCTCCGCAAGGAGGTGCCTGGAAGTGGAACAAAGGATCCGGTGGGAAGAAATCCCCAAGAGCAAGGCAAGTCTCGAAAGAGCTGAGCACGAGCATGCTCTCGACTTGTTTAAGTCGGAGGATCTTAGAAGGGAATTAGAAAAAAAAGAGCAGGGTAGCTCAGTAATTCTGATTCTTTTCTCTTCCAGCCCCCGGCCCCTCTTTGATAAGGAAAGTTTTCATTTCTAAAATTAAAAATGACAAATATGGTTCGATGGCTCTTCTCTACTAACCACAAGGATATTGGGACTCTCTATTTCATCTTCGGTGCCATTGCAGGAGTGATGGGCACATGCTTCTCCGTACTGATTCGTATGGAATTAGCCCGACCCGGCGATCAAATTCTTGGTGGGAATCATCAACTTTATAATGTTTTAATAACGGCTCACGCTTTTTTAATGATCTTTTTTATGGTTATGCCGACGATGATAGGTGGATTTGGTAATTGGTTTGTTCCGATTCTCATAGGTGCACCTGACATGGCATTTCCATGATTAAATAATATATCATTCTGGTTGTTGCCACCAAGTCTCTTGCTCCTATTAAGCTCAACCTTAGTAGAAGTGGGCAGCAACACTGGGTGGACAGTCTATCCGCCCTTAAGTGGTATTACCAGCCATTCTGGAGGAGCAGTTGATTTAGCAATTTTTAGTCTTCATCTATCAGGTATTTCATCAATTTTAGGTTCTATCAATTTTATAACAACTATCTTCAACATCCATGGACCTGGAATGACTATGCATAGATTACCAATTTTTGTGTGGTCCGTTCTAGTGACAGCATTCCTACTTTTATTATCACTTCCGGTACTGGCGAGGGCAATTACAATGTTATTAACCGATCAAAACTTTAATACAACCTTTTTTGATCCTGCAGGAGGGGGAGACCCAATATTATACCAGCATCTCTTTTGGTTCTTCGGTCATCCCAAGGTGTATATTCTCATTCTGCCTGGATTTGGTATTATTAGTCATATCGTATCGACCTTTTCAAGAAAACCGGTCTTCGGGTATCTAGGCATGGTTTATGCCATGATAAGTATAGGTGTTCTTGGATTTCTAGTTTGGGCTCATCGTATGTTTACTGTGGGCTTAGACGTTGATACGTGTGCCTACTTCACCGCAGCTACCATGATCGTAGCTGTGCCCACAGGAATCAAAATCTTTAGTTGGATCGCTACCATGTGGGGAGGTTCGATACAATACAAAACACCCATGTTATTTGCTGTAGGATTCATCTTTTTGTTCACCATAGGAGGGCTCACTGGAATAGTTCTAGCAAACTCTGGGCTAGACATTGCTCTACATGATACTTATTATGTGGTTGCACATTTCCATTATGTACTTTCTATGGGAGCCGTTTTTGCTTTATTTTCTGGATTTTACTATTGGGTGGGTAAAATCTTTGGTCGGACATATCCTGAAACTTTAGGCCAAATCCATTTTTGGATCACTTTTTTTGGGGTTAATCTGACCTTCTTTCCCATGCATTTCTTATGGCTTTCGGGTATGCCACGTCGCATTCCAGATTATCCAGATGCTTACGCCAGATGGAATGCTCTGAGCAGTTTCGGTTCTTATATATCCGTAGTTGGGATTCGTCGTTTCTTCGTAGTTGTCGCAATCACTTCAAGCAGTGGAAAGAACCAAAAATGTGCGGAAAGTCCTTGGGTTGTTGAACAGAATCCAACCACACTAGAATGGTTGGTACAAAGCCCTCCAGCCTTTCATACTTTTGGAGAACTTCCTGCATCTTTCACCAGAATATGGGTTCTGTACGCTTTATTTGGCCATTCCGATGCAATCTAATTCTCTGTGTCTTTTCCTTGATGTTTCTCGCGTTCAAATTATGCCTTCTGCTTTTGAACTTAGCCTATCCGTTATTTGCGACAGAAGCGCCCATCTGCGCCTCTTCCGCTGTCAGGCTAATGCAACTATTGGTATGAATCTTATGGCGGACGATGATTTATTAAGAGCAGTTGCACCATTTCTCCAGAGAGGAGGAACGCCTCCTGTAACTCTGCCTGAGCAATGCTGTCTTGCAGTGGAAGAGGAAGGCCGTCTTGCCCTGGTGTTGGATTTTCAAAATAAGAGTGGCACTCTTCTCAGGAGTATCGATCTTAACTCGTTCCGGAACCATCACTTTTAAGAGGAAAGCGCCTCTGATCTCGCCGCGGCGACCCTACTCCATAAAGAAGAAGATCTCAATGACCACACAAAGTTATGGGAAGTGCATTCAGGGCTTCATCGTTATAGAGACAGCTCTAGGTACTACTTTCGCGTGGTAGAATGGGTCAAGGTCGAGAGAAAGGTTCGTAGTGGGGAGTTGCCAAGAACGTTCATCATTGATGATGACGGTGAAGGATAAGGATAGTGACTGGCGTTTAGCTTCATCTAGAAAGAAAATCGGCCTTCCACCGCTCAAAAAGGGGAAAAACTAACAAACGACAACCTATGAGTCTACAAGTTTCTCACCAGTCCGTTCATGATTGCCGCATACCCACTAAGATAAATGTCAAATCTCCGCTATATAATCAAATAGGTCTTTCTTCTGCTTCTGATAGAGGTGATAGTTTTATATCAAGTTTTTGAGAAATCGACTTCTCATTATGGAATGTGAAGAAGTACAGTCTTCAGAAAGTGGTGTTAAGCTGTGTAGATGGGTTGAGTAGCATGGAAGAGACACTGATCAGAATGTTGTTAAACAATCCCTTTTACTATCACGATAAAGCGTGGGATGCGTCATGGGAGTATGTCCCAGAGATAGGAGAAATCTCTCGGGTGCTATTTCACGTTTACTTGAAGGCGCACTTTGACTCGAAGATTTGGAAGGCATATCCAGGAGTTAGTTACTCACGGTTAGGTAGCAAAGTGATTATAGTAATCAAGGATGAAACATATATCGATCTGGAATCGTTGTTAGAAGATGTAGGTCTTCCTGGGAAAATCGAGTATCTCGACGACGAGGATACTACAACACCTTGTTTGATTTGTACCCCATATGAAAGAAAAGTCATCCTTTTAACGGATGGGCGTATTGAAGTGTGGAACAGTGAGGATTATCTGTGATAGATGGCTTCGTTACAATCCTAGCTATGACATAGGGGTAAATAGCAATGTTGCACGTGTTTTAGCTGTTGTTAGATCCAGCATAGATCTAAAAGATGGTTGTACATGCACAGAGGGTGGTATACCACTTCGTAAATAGAAGAAAGAATGAGAAACTTTGAGATGAACCACATTTCCAAGGGATTGATGTCTACTCCGTGTCCTGTAACCCTTTTGAATCTACTGGAAAAAGAAAAAAAACTAGTTCCACTTCAACGTTGTTATCCGCATCGGGCGATACTCCTCCCCAACTCGCTTAACACAGAACCACTTTCAGAAGCTTTATTGAGTTTGAGTTTTGATAGTTGCGAAGATCCGAGTCCAGCTACTTACGAAGAAGGGCAGACTACCCTATTCCTATCCCTACAGACTAGCTAAGCATGGTAGTTGAGTGAACGGGCTATCAAAAAGCTCTCGTTTATCCTTTATCGAGGCAGGATAGTATTATTATACCTAAAAGAAGGGGTTCTAAAACAGTTTAGAGAACTAATCTGGGTCTATCAGGCACTGGTATCTAAGTGGTACTCCCACGTCTACGATAATAATAAGTCGTTTTATAGGAAAGAAGCTTAAACCTTTTATAGCGATTATGATGCAGTGGGAGGGTGTAGAAAAAAATGAATCCGTTTAGGTATCCTCTTGTAGGTTATGATAGAAGTCGTATCGAGTCGTCATAAAAGGAGGAGAAGTGGCTATATGAATCTTTGGCGGGTTATCATGAGATTTATGCCCTCTATCTGATAGCGGTAAATATCAACCCTAGGAATTTCTTCCATCTATATATACGTTCGAACTGCTCTTCGTCATATTTCACCCGGAAAAATACAGCTATTTACTCGCCCTACTCAGACAGTACCTAAACATGGAAGTGTGATTCGACGCCGCCTTCCCTCAAATCTTCCGGCAATCGGCATAACATCAAGCGAGTGCTGTTGATTTGACCACGCTCAGGCGTAGGACGGGGAAAAAACGATCACGTGTCTCCTCGTTTCTCACGAGTCTAATCCTAGGCCACGGGCAAAATGCACTTTCTGAGGACATAAACACGAACCAGGAGGGTGTATAAAACAACCCTAGTTTTACACTATAACTCGAGTATCCGGTAGATAACCTTCCTATGCCCGATGGAGTGTATAGATGATGGGAGAACCCGTTCAAGACTTGTTAGCACGCCTAGTGTATGGTGTTGTTGAGAAATGAAAGGTGTATACCCTCAGATCTTGACGGTTACATGTTGAGATCACCGTTCACAACGTTATTATACGTCTTTACCTGATAACTCTTACGGACATTAGAGATTTAAACGTAATAGAGGGTAGTCCAAAACCTACCGATTCATCTTACTTTGAGAAAAGACGCATGAAAAAGGTTCCAAAATCCATTCATAATATGCTAAAGGATGATGCGAGGAAATCAATAAGGACGAGAGAAATGCATGCAAGATTTGGCTAGAACCTACATACAGCCTCTGTACAGAGCAGCGTGTCCGCATTTACAATAAAGTGATTTGAAAGGACAATCCTTATCACCTTCATTTAGAGAGTCAGCGTAACTAGCAATACACTAAAAATCTTTTACGGTTGTTTAGTTAGTGACCCTACTATCGATCAGGCGTATTTGACTCGATTTGAATTGACGGATTCGCTACTTCGGCGTTCCCTTCTTGACATGAACAAGAATAAGTTTTTAGGATGTTGCTAATCGTGAAATTAGGTGTTTTTATTTCCGTAAAGTTCTCCTTATAAAATAAGTCCATCTGGAAATTCGTCCAATAGTCTTCTCGTGCTTTTTGCATTATAGCGGCGTACAGCATAATATCATGCATCATATAGTTCACATATTCAGCCTTTTTCTCTACTAGATTGCATATTGACGTCATCTCGGTGTTACAAGCTTTAGAACAGCGTTGTAGGCAAAACATGTCAACCAACTCGTCTTCTTGGATATAACATAAAATATCATTAAAGTCCCGCACTTTAAAAAGTAACCGGTTATTAACTGCCGAATAGACCCTCATATTGGAGATATTATTATATCTCGTAAGCGCTGAGCATTTAAACTCATGTTTACGATGTGTCAAACAATTCCTTAGTATGCAATAACTATCATCTCTATTGAAATTCGTTAAATAAACGTTAATACTCCTTTCATTTTTCACTCTCCTAGTTAAACTACTTAACAAAGTATATACTAACCGCCTACCTCCCTCAGTTAGACACTTAGTGAGAAGAGTTGAGTCGTGCGTAGTAGTGGAAAACACTTGATTATCCTTCAAAACAGATAGTTGATTACCTCTAATCTTCATAAAAGTAGAGTCGTCAGTAGTGGAAAACACTTGATTATCCTTCAAAGCCAAAGGTTGATTAGCTCTAACCATAACGAACGCACCTGAATGCGGTATCTTAAATTGCTGATATCTATCTCTATATAAAAGTGTAAGCATATTAGCAACAACGAAGGGCTTGAGAGTTGGAATGTTCTTCACTTTTCGATTAGAGATCATTTTTACTGGAATGCAATGATCATTCTTCTCCGCGTCTATTTGATTATAACTCAATTGAATAGTGGGGATTGTCTTACGCGTGTCTAGATATCCGGTCCAAATACTAGGAACTCTCTCCTGATTATTCACTTTTAGGTTCTGACTCGTTGGAGTAGTCCTGCTCAAGGTAAAGGTTTTACTCGAAAGCACATCTATTCACATGCGCTCTCTCTGATACTATGCTATCTATGGGACCTACTTTGTGTCGAAGTTGAACTGAAGCAGCACGGGCTGGCTATAGTCCTGACGCTTTGAAACCATGCCTTTATTCATTCCGCTAGTGAAATGGGAGTTTGTTTTTACGATATAGAAAATCAAAAGTTTTATGCTCGCCATGTGGGAAAGTGACTTTAGAGTGCAGATCCAGCACTAAACAGGCTTGTGCGAGCAAGATGCAAAGATGGATTGAGAATGTTTGGAATTGCTTTATATAATATATAAGTATCCAGTGCTTAAAGAACCGATCCCGAGCACCATTGCATTACTTCCCCCTCCCTATCTACTGCGCACTTGAGAAATCCTCTAATTGAAGCAGGTGGATCATTGGTTGATTTTCTCTGAAATCCGCTTAGAAAATGTATGCACAACTCTCTTGAGTACCGGTATTACGAATGAGAAAAGGTTTGGTAGTTCAGGGTCAGTTGGTTCATCAATGGCTGGAATTTCTCCTGCTCCAACATCTGTGCCACCGTGCTTGACATAAAGATCGTAATCCCAGTAGGACTCATCTTCTTCTCAAAACTCATGAGTGAGATGCTTGGCGTTTATCCACAACTGAACTACTCTTATCCTAAGGAAGACTAGTTGTCTGCCTTGGCTCCAAGGCGGCTACCAAGCTCGTAAGCAAGCGGTCTGTTAATGATACTTAATGAAAAAGAGATCGGCTCTTTGATGATATATTTGGTTCTAATAACACATTCCTTTGGTTAGAAACCGATTCAATCGACTACTTACTGAAATGAAATAAGAACCCTCTTTGGGAGAAGTTCTCATTGTGATTAGTATGACCAGCACGAAAGCAGTGATCTTCTAGGTCTGGCTCATAAATAGGCCTTGGCTCTGCGGCAAGTCCTTCTTAAGCATGTGATGGAGCTCAAAAACGGCATTAGGCCGTGAGGGCAACTGATGACCATTTGGTCTATTGATAGGACAGTCACTACCGAAACCCCTTTCTATGTCCTTACGAAGATGGAATACGATCTTAAACTTAGACGAGTTGCTAACTGAAGGCAAAAACCAGGGATTTTATGAGTATGTACCTCGATTTCCAACGGGAAATTCATATCTAATAGAGGACTAGATCGATGCTTTAATGCGAGGGTAGGGTATCTACTCGCTTTCTTGCCTTATCACGAGCTATTGAGAACGGATCTAAGGG